TGACGGCACCAACGGGGATGGTGACGGGGGTTCCGACGACGTCGTCGACGACGACGACGACGACGACGACGACGATGGCGACCACTTGCTTCGGTACATGTCGGTTTGCAGTTGAATGACGAACTGAGACTTGTCGCTCTAGCAAAATGACGAATCGAGACTTAGCACCATGTGCGCACATCGGCGTTCTTTTTCCTACGTGACACTGTGAGATAATAAAAATAATAATAATACTACGGGGGAAGAGGAGGTAATTGAGAGAAGCGCCGATATCTGGCTGCTCTTTTGTCTCAATGAGATGCACCGACATTGATTTAGACCAATGCACCAATGACAACAAAGACGCGTGACTAGTATAAAAGGTCATCATAAGTGCGCGGTGTCACAAAAGGTGTCTGGGGTGTGTGCGTAATGGCTCATCGTGCGAATAGAGTGCGCGAAGACGTAGAAGAAGTGGAAGATGATGTGGAGGATGAATTGAAAGGCACGTTGTCGTCCGATACGGGTGTCGTTAGTGATCTGAGCGAAGATCTAACGTTGCACAGGGAGAGATACGTGTCGCAGGCGGAACTCTGTGCGTTGACCCAGCGTACCAAGCATTGCATGATCTAGTGCTACTATTCGACCGGAGGTGCTCTGGCCCCTTGCGCCTCCTGCATGATTCAGCTGAAGGACACTGAGCTTTACGGAATGAATCTAGTGTTGAAGCACAAGATTGATTACGAACAAGTGCTAAGTGGCCGATACTGCTCCAACTGCCGTGTGAGGATGTATGTGATAATTCCTTGCAGCATGTGTCCAATGTGTACGAATCAAAGCACGTAAAAAAAACATTAGCGACATGAAGAGGGTAAGGGTTATAAGCTGGGAGGAGTTCGATGTCCTGTGCGTTCTCCGTGATTCGCATGGAGAGACCGATGTGCGACACGTATCGCCGGTGCAGTTTTTACGCGATCGGGAACTAGGAATACGCGGAACTGGTGAACGCTTCGCGAGACAGGGAGTCACAGTCGACCGAGAGCTCGTGCGTGAGTGGCCCCGTCACGCGAAACGAAAAGTGTACGCGTGGTTTCTCGAGAAAGCGTACGAGGATTACGAAAGGTGTTGCGAGGTGTACGGTCTTTGGAACGAAAAAAATCGGGAACGATCTGTATGTAGATTTCAGTCGTGTGGAGAACAGGTACTACTGGGCGAAGCGAATCGTCGAGAAGCTCGAGTATAACCGTAATCTGTACATTACGATTCCCGTGAGTAGCGAGAGGTACGTCGAGTTGTTGGTGATAGATCCATACATCTACATGTATGCCGAGTGGATGTATCCCGTCGCTGTAAAACGGCAGATCGACGAGCAGCTGCAGTGGGAGCGTGAATTTGACGAACGTGGTGAACTGGACGATACTTTTTGCAACGTGTGCATCGTTCTTCGAAAAGAGTGCATGTATCAGGGAGGCGAAGAGTTGGAGGACTACCGCGTTCTAAATATGGACCGAACGTGTCGACAGTGTAGAGAAATCACGTGCAAGTGTTTCGTGGAAGAGTGCGACGCGATATAGACAAAATCATGGAACGTCTCGAGCGAGTGGAAAACGAACTGCTGGAGCAGAGTCGCCAGATCGCCACTTTGGCGGAGTGTTTCGCGTGGTTGCGACGATGCGACGAGTGCATCCAGCGGCTCGAAGAACTCTGTCGCGTCAAGCGTCCTCGGCTCGCCGCCGGAAGTAGACAGTCCGCGGTAGCGAGGATCGCGCGACTCGCTGGTGAAAGGGTGCGAGTGGAGAGACGATTCGTGCACGTGGGCGCCGGACACAGTGCGGGACTCGTGTGGCGAGAGATCGATACCGCGTTCCACAATCGCGTTCTCACCGGTGCGGTAATTAACACGGATTATATCGAGCCGCAGCGATTTTTGGAGGACGCGGACGATACAGTGCTCGAGCGAGTGCGAAACGCCATAGAGAGACACGGTAGCGTGAAGGTGAACACCGCGTTCAACGGCAAATTTACGTCGGGTGACAAACGCGCCAATATAGGCATACCCTCGCGAAACGCGGAACTCTATTGAACGTCGGATGTGCGCGAGTGGTACGAGAAGCATGTCGTCGAAGCCACGTTGACGAAGTTTGGCGAGTTCGAGGAGCGCGACAGCGGGTGAGCGCTGTCGCGAATTCTCAATTTAACGGTAAACGTGAACAAGCACAATCCGATGCACGCGGGATGCTACGTCGAAGTGCCGTGGGAGAAAGCGACGAAACGAGCGGTGGTCAACGTGCGCTCGATGGACAACGCGTGCTTCGCGTGGTCGGTGGTCGCCGCTCTGCACTCCGTGGAAAGAAACGCGGGAACGGGAGTCGTCGTATTTGCATTACGCAACGGTGCTCGAGTTCGCGGGTATCGAGTTTCCGATGACTCTGAAAGACATTACGAAATTCGAACGTGCGAACAACGTGTCGATAAAAGTGTACTGTATCGAGAAGGAGGGAGGTGAACTATCTGTTCTTCCGATACGATTGACCGGTCGAAAGATGGAGAGGCATGTCAACCTGTTGCACATGCAGGATCCACGAGACAGCAGCATCGGCCACTTCGCGTGGATAAAAAATCTGTCCCGCCTCGTGAGCTCTCAACTCAGCAAGAAGCAACACAAGAAATTCTTCTGCGACCGGTACGTATCGAGAAAATACTAAAATAGAATGTTGTAAAAAAGACAAAAATTAAGTAAGGTATTTTGTGTTTACAGATGTCTACATTACTTCAGCTTGCAGGAACGACTGGATGCCCACACCGTGAACTGCAACGAGCTGAACGAATGTGCGGTAGAGCTGCCGAAAGAAGACGCGAAATGGCTAACGTTCGGCAAACACGGCAACAAGGAACGTGTGCCGTTCGTCGTATACGCCGACCTGAAGTGCGTTCTGGAAAAGATGGATCCGAATCTGCCTGAGTCTCAACACCACAAGGTACACAGCATAGCGTGCTATATATATTGCTCGTACAACGACGCGTTATCGGGATATCGGTGCCGCCGCGATAAGGACTGCGTCGCGTGGTTCGTCGAGGAACTCAAAGAATTGGCGCTCGAGCACTGTATCGTCCACGTCCTCCAAAAATCGCTGCGGCTCGATATAATCCGTGTTAATTACCGCACCGGTCAGAACGCGATTGTGGAACGCGGTATCGATCTCTCGCCACACAAAGTAAAGTCCGCTTTGTCCGTTAACGTTCCCATGACAGAATTGACGCGCGACGAATGCGAAAGATATAACAACGCTACGTACTGTCACATATGCGAAAAACCGTTTGCGGCGGAAGACACGCGGGTACGGGATCATTGCCACATGACCGGACGATACAGAGGTCCCGCGCATTCCAAACTGCAATTTGAACTACAAAGATTCGCGTTGCATTCCCGTGGT